ACAAGCAAAGTTTTGTTTAATAGAAACCTAAAGTGGATGCATTAGTATAATCCCAGCTACTTGGAACACTGAGGCAGGAGGATTACAAATTCAGGGCTAGCCTAGACAACTTAAAAAGGGTTGGGGATATAGTTTACGGTAGAGTGCCCATACGTGAGATCCTAAGGTAGGAAGGAAGGAGGAAAAGAAAGGAAAGAAAGAAAGAAACCCACATACATATTTTAAAGAGTCTGGCTAGAAGATAAAAACACTTTTTATCAATTTTTTAACATAGCTTTCATGAACTTGAGTTCTCAAGCCTATTTTAGTGTCCTTCTGTCCCAACCACTGAGGATATCACTTAGGCACAGTAAAGTGGTAGCTTGCTCCTTACCACTTACCAATGCAAAGTAGAGTTTAAACAGATATACCAGGTGGCCTTATTAATGAAATGAATCTGTATGAAATTCAGGGGAAAAAATGAATTTGGATATTTAAAGTAACCAACCTGAGCTAATACTGTGATGAAGTTGCGATTTAAATGAACAGCTTCATAAAGTGCCAGAAGAATGGCCTCATTGGTTCTAAAGAAAAAGAGAACAAATTGGAGTAGGCTATTAAAGTGGAGAAGTTAAAATATTATACCCATCAAGACAAGATTTCACCATAGTTCTCTATTACCAATCCCTTTGAGTTTCAAATGTTCCCTTTTACTTTCCTTTTGGGAATATGCAAAGTGTACAGGTAAAAACCCTAATTCCCATGACCATTTCTATTTTTTAAACTTTTTTAGCTATAGATGGACATAATACCTTTATTTTACTTATTTACTTAATTTTATGTGGTGCTGAGGATCAAACCAGTGCCTCACATGTGCTAGGCAAGTGCTTTATGACAGAGCTACACCCCCCAGTCTGACCATTTCTTATTCTAGTTCATTCACTACCTTCCCTCTTGCTTTTCCACCCCAACAGTTAAATCCTTAACTACCTCAGATACCCAGCCCTTTTTCCTTTAATTCCAGAGAGAAACGAGAATAGTTTTTCAGTTTGGGAAGCTCTATACATATAAGACCAAAGCAGATATTTCCAAGGGTCCATTACTTAAAACCCAGCCAGAGCCATGTATAGTGGCATATGCTGTAATCCCAGCAACTTGGATGGTTGAGGCAAGAGGCTTGCAAGTTCAAGACCAGCCTCAGCAACTTAGTGACAGCCTATCTCAAAATAAAAAAGGGCGAGGGATATGGCTCAGCAGTTAAGCACATTTGGGTTCATTCCCCAGAACCAAAAAAAAATAATAAATAGAAAAATAAAACCCAATCTCAACTAAGGAGGCTAAGACAGGAGGTTCAACAAATTCGAGATCATCCTGAGCAATTTAGCGAGGATGATCCTTTCTCATAAAAAAGGGCTGGGGAACCAGACACAGTGGCACACGCCTGCAATCCCAGCAGCTCAGGAGGCTGAGGCAGGAAGATCAAGAGTTCAAAGCCAGCCTCAGCAACAGAAAGGTGCTAAGCAACTCAGTGAGATCCTATCTCTATATAAAATATAAAATAGGGCTGGGGATGTGACTCAGTGGTCAAGTGCCCCTGAGTTCAATCCCTGGTACACCCCCACACACAAAAAAAAGGGGGAAATAGCTATAACTACTTAGCTACAGTACTTAGCATGCACAACATCCCTGGGTTCAATTCCAGCATCAAAAACAAGCAGAAAGCAAAAAAAGAAACATTAGATAAACCACCCAAAAAAAGTTTAAAAAAGATTAGTAAGAGGTAACCTTTTCCACTCTCATAACCAGCAAGATAGCCTACACTAAAATTCAAGTCACTGCACAAGAATGTCAAGACACTTACTGTACTGAGATTTTCTCATGGGCATCTGCTATGAACATGCTGCCCACCTGTGGAAGAAAAGGAGAATTGCAGACTTTATACAGTAGGATGCAAGAAAAAGTTATGTGCCTAGGAAGCCTTTAATAAAATCAAATTCTTTCCAGCAGGAAAAGACTTAGAACTTTGGATCATCAGCCACACACACAACACCAGTTCACTTTGAAGATCTCAAAAGATTTATAAGTAATAAATGAAGAGAATCCAACTGAATCAGCTTGTCTCAAAGGACTTTTTTTAAAATCCCAGTATTTTTACGTAGTCCTTCTTTCTTCCAGTGTGTAATTTAGCCACTGTCAACTAAAAGGACATACAATTCCTTATCACTCTGCATCTTTCCTATAAGTTGCTTATTTGCAGTCACAAACTAACCCATAAAGAATGTCAAGGAAGCCAGGCACGGTAGCACATCCCTGTAATCCCAGCAGCTCAGAAGGCTGAGGCAGGAGGATCACAAGTTCAAACAAGGCTCACCAAAAGCGAAGCGCTAAGCAATTCAGAGAGACTGTGTCAAAATATAAAACAAAACAGACTGGGGATGTGGCTCAATAATCAAGTGCTCCTGAATTCAATCCCTGGTACCCCCCACCCAAAAAAAGAAAATGTCAAAGAAAGCATGCTGATTACATCCAACTAGATATTTAGGGGATATATGCATTTCAGACAAGAACTGTGAGATCCATGCTTATCCTTCAGATCACAAAAATCTTAGTTTGTAACAGCAGGCAAATAGGTAAAAAGCATAAATTGCCTCTCATATGTGTGATTTCAGAGGCATGTAAAAGATGCTCACCCCTTAAAAATGCCACAAAACTTTTTCTCCTTGACTAAAAGTTGAAGATCCCTGTGAGCAACATAATTAGATCTAATTTGTATAATCAAACACCAATACAAAACTCATACTTCTCTTGCCTCTGAGAGATTTCACTCATTCATGCCTCAGAGTTTAGCAGGTTCTTTCCTGAGAGCAGGCTCTGAGAAGAAAGATGGGAAGACACTGGGGGGAAAAATTGCATCTTTGTGTGGGAGGAGATATGGCAACTGTTTCTTGCAATAAACTAAGTAACAATCTTGCTCTAGAGCTGATTACTTGGATACTGATGCCTAAGAAGACAGACTTTGTGAATCTGCTTAAATTCTAGAACCTCCTAGATTTCTCTCTTAAAAATTAGCCCCATATTATCTGATCCAAAATGCCAATGCTTCCAAAGTTATGAAACCTTACTCTGGAGTATTGCAAGCTAAACCAATATCTTTTCCTAAACCTTGGACCTCTCTGGCCAGACCCTAACTAAGCCTTTAGAGGAGTAGCTCACATCCACTATACTGTGACCCTTTGACCACAGTTCCAGCTATTAGGGATCACATGGCCATAGGAGACTATAAAAGAGCATTTGGGGTGGGGGGTAGGGAGGACTCAGATCTAAACTCTCCTATTTTTTTTTAAACTTTTTTAGATGTTGATAGACCTTTACTTTATTCATTTACTTATATGTGGTTCTGAGAATCCAACCCACTGCCTCACTGAGCCACAACCCCAGCCCCTAAACTCTCCTATTCTTTGTTCCAAGGGTCAGTCTGCAATCAGGGTCAACACTTACAAAAGCAAAAGTCTTCCTATGCACCTTTTCTTCAGCAATCAATTAATTAGGAAAAAAATGAATCCAAGAGGAGTCAAAGCTCCCCTCTCCCCATCTTACCTAGTTTTGGAACTCAATAACAGAGACAAAGTTCCAAATAAAATCTGCTCTGAGTAGCCTCTCTCATGCCATGATGATGGCCCTTCATCATTCTATCACCTCAAACATCTGAATATCTGATGCCAGATTTACCTAACCCTGCATTTCTAAGCAGGAGAAAAAAATAAGTAGGACTTACCATATTTGTTAAAGCAGAGAAAAAGCCACTCTGGTGTTCTTCTTCCTTGTCTTTATACTGTCTAAACAAAAAAAGAACTAAATTCAACTTTAGGATTACTTATGAAATACATCTTTGTCCTCAACATTCTAGATAATCAGGGCAGAGCTCTCTGAATTCTCTAACTTCAGAAGACCAAAGCATTATGACAATTGCCACTGCAGTTCCCCCGCAAGCTAGAGGCACCCATCTGCTCCTGAAGTAGTGTGTACCAAAATGCCTGGCTACTTTGGGAGAGACTTAGAAAGCAAGCTGGAAAAGTGTGAAACTGCTCTAACATAGGGCTGATCCAGTTATTTCCCAAACAGACTATTACTTGAAAAATGTGACAGTGAAATTACTTTAAGGCTGTAACAGTGAAAATCTTGTTCGTTTCTGAAGGAAAAGGAGGAAAACCAGAGAGCTAAACCAGACAGCTAAAACATGTGGAGATTTGAAATTTGAAACATGGACAGATTTGAAATCCTGACACCAATTGTGTGTAAGTAAAGTCTGGAAAGAAGCAAGAAAAATCCTTCATGGCCTTTGCAGGGATTAGAGATATTTCAGGTTTTCAATCGTGGAATACCATATGCTTCCCCTATGCACAGCTAGAGGAAAAATAAATATCAATGAAGAGAGCCCCCAGAGTAAAGAGGGACACTGGAAAGGTGAGGGTGATCACTAGTATAAAAGAAACATAGCTCAAACATGTGGTAGAGCACATGCTTAGCATGCATGAGGCCCTGAGTTCAATCAGCAGGAGAGAGGGAGGTGAGTGGGAGGGAAGTGAGATAGATCTGTCGAAGTTGATTTAACTCAATACACTTTCTCCTTTTATTTATTTAGGTACTGGGGATTGAACCCAAGGATACTTTACCAATAAGCTACAGTCCCAGTCCCTTTTTTTTTTTTTTTGATAGTTGTAGATGGATACAATACCTTTATTTTATTAATTTATTTGTATGGTACTGAGGATTGAACCCAGGGCCTCACATGTGCTAGGCAAGCACTCTACAACCCCAGTCCAGTCCCAGTCCTTTTTATTTTTTATACTGAGACAAGACTCCTTAAGTTGCTTGAGGGTCTTGCTAAGTTGCTAAGGCAGGTCTCATACTTCCTATTCTCCTGCCTAGCCTCCCAAGTTACTAAGTTTACAGGCATGCACCACCATGCCCAGTTTCCTTTATTTTTTTTTAAGAGTACAAAAAAGTGGTACGTCACAAACTTTTTTATATTAGAAAATAATATTTGTATGACACATGGGCTGAATGAAATAGACTGCTTAAAATGGGAAAACTAGTAAAAATGTTCTGCAAAAAAATACCCATAAACTGCAAAAGAATGTTCCTATTTGCTTAAACCAAAGATGGATACTAATCTGGTGGCTATTTTTATCCAGGTTTTAAAAACAACCCCTGCTCTGTGAGGTGTGGTGTCGCAAACCTATAATCCCAGCAACTCAGGAGGCTAAGGCAGGAGAGTTCAAGTTCAAGGCCAGTCTCAGCAAGGTCTTGTTAACAAGGCCCTAACCAACTTAGTGAGAACCCTGTCTCAAAATAAAAAATAAAAAAGGGCTGGGGAGGTAAAGTGGTAAAGCATACCTAGGTTCATCCCCAGTACCAAAAATTTAAATTAAATAAATAAATAAATAACAACCCCTGCTACTACCATCAAGCTGAGCTGGAGCAAACAGATTTTATACCTCTGAATACTCTTTTGGGATAGGTCCAGGGAATTTAACCTAAGAACTATAACAACCCTGTTCCCTACACAACTAATTCAAATAAAAATTGGACTTTTCCCTTCTGGAAAGATTGACTTACCTATTATACTCAGATAAAGCTTGAGCAATTACAAGCCCCATTCCCTGAAAGAGAAAAGATAGTTCAGATGAAATAAATGAGTAGCCTTTGTGGGTTGATGGTGATGTTATGACTCAGCCATGAAAAACACTAAACCCCCATGGACCATGCCCATGAAGTTCTGTCTAAAAGTTGGCAACAATCACAGAAATTTTGAAAGGTACTATCAACCAAGAGGGAAAAAACTCTTTGGAAATCTTTTTTCTTATCTAATTAATGTTCTTAGGTACAATTTAAAATAAAGTAATGTTCCCAGATACAATTTAAAATAAAGTAACAAGGGCTGAAACAGACCAACTCAGATTACTGACAATTTCACTGGGATCATTTTCATTCCGAAGACTCAGCTAGAATATTCAAACAAAAAGTCCTCATTTACCTTCAAAACAGCCACAATAAAAGGGACAATGAGTCCCATGCTAAATGAAGGTGCATATAGATGAGCCACTCACTCAGGCCACAAAAAAAACAGCAATAAAAAGGAAAGAGGCATTCAATAAATGTTAAAGTAACTTATCAACTTTCCTGGAGAACCTGTAAAACCTAATACAAAGATCAATTGAGGATGCAAGGATGAATCATGTGTACATTTTTTTCATAAGGGAAATTAAAGAAAATAGGATAGAAAGGAAATAAAGTCAGACACCTGGCCATCTTCTTCTCTCCATATTCAGAGACCAGATATATTATCTCACACACTTTCAAGAACATATATAGCAAATATATATCATCCTTCATGTTTCAGCTTCACCAAATCAGGCTCTTTATATCATCTAGCTTGTTCCACAAGAAGGAATCTCCCATCATTAAGTCACCTAAGCTTTCTTACTCCTGGATGTATAACTTATTGACTTTATAGGAAGTCAAACTCAGCACACTTCAACATGAAAATAAGTAGCCACTTCATCATGAATAGCAAGCAAAAAATGTCCCCTCAAACCTTTCTTCCATGACACTAAGAAGACAACTCTAAAAATACTAATTCCCTCTTTCTAGCCAAAGAAATCAACACAATACCTCTCTGCTCTCTTGTTCTAAATGTCCACTGAAAATAAGGCCACTGAATTCAAGTAAGACAATACACCAAGATCCAGATACTCACATTGAGTGTGGCCTCGTCATCCACAATAGACAGCTTCACAATATAAGGATTCACAGACTGTAAACAACAGAAGAGAGTCAAGGTGAGTGTGACCTAGTTAAAAAAGCCCTTCAGCTATTTAAGAAAGTATTAACAGGGGGCCAAGGATATAGCTGAGTGGGAAAGTGCTTGCCTGCCATGAGTGAGGCCCTGGGTTCCATTCCTAGTACCACCAAAAAAAAAAAAAAAAGTGCTTGTTTAAGGCCTTTTTCTGAACAGTGATATTACCAAAACCCAGCCCCAAACCACTTGAGTGCTGACTCCCCTAATTTCCAGAAAATTTCTTAGCACATATGGGCGTTTATCAAATGCACAGATGTACATGAATACACTTACATACACACAGGTGAGTTCTGTTCTACCCACATTTTCCTCTAGGCTGAATTAGCTCAAGCCTATGTCTATAACTTCGCCCACCTTTCCTTCTTACTTGTTTCTAAAAAGTAAGTGAACACTCCACAAAACTCACTTTGTCCTACCATCCCAAGTCCTTAGGGATATTGTCTTAGGAGACAGAAAAGCTTCCCTGCCATAAGGCACATATGTAAGTTATTAACTTACATTCTCAATCCAAAGGCTCCCTAACCATTTCACAAACTATATACAAGGACTGATTCACCCACTCTTAAAACAAAGCCATCTTGGGGGTAGAAAGTAGCAGCTGCTTAACAGCTAGAGAGGCCATTTATGGAGATCTGATTCCCAAATAACACTGCAGGGGAGCTGGAAAAAAAAAGATGTAATTACACAAGCAATAATCTGGTTAGGACACTGAGATTTAATGATTGTCCATCACTTATAGCACTGAAAGATTTCTTGAGTTTTTAGTGACCCAATTTCAGCTGGGAAACATATGGAAATGGACATATATTTAAACTTATTAGACAACTGAGCCATCTCCTACAAGTGATATAGGAACCAATGACCTGCTCACCTTGAAAATATCCCACACATAGGATGTATAGAAAGACCTCATACAGATCAGGCACCAACTCTAGCCCAAGGGAAGCTAGTAACAATAGTCTCAGACTAGCAGTTTTTATAGCTATAAGAAAACTCATTAGGAAGAAACTTGAAAACCCAATTGAAAGGCTAACCCCCTCTGACCCCCCCCACAGAGAGCTCATTTAATCAAGATTCTGAGAGCATCTTTTGCATTGTCAACTGGGACAGAAAAAGAGAGCTTTGTTTAACAGTCCAAATGTTTATAAAGTTTTACATAATGTAACTCAAAGAGGTAGAACCCACTCCATTTGTTACTTGTTTTGACTATAGTAAGGCTCTCAATACATCTTCCTGTAACCAACAGTCAAATCCCACTGATATAACAAACTTCAGGAAAGATCCAATGCATGTAGATCCTTGGAAAAGACAATCTGCACTTAGCTGATCTAGAGATGTCACCAGGATGACAGCAACATTAGAAAGAGCAGACCACCCAGGCACAATGGTGCAGGTCTATAAACCCAGCAACTTAGAAGGCTGAGGCAGAACAATCACAAGTTCAAGGCCAGCCTCAGCAATTTAGCAAGGCTCTAAGCAACTTCATGAAACCGTCTCAACATTAAAAAATAAAGAGCATCGGGGCTATAGCTTAGTGATAAAGTGCCCCTGGGTTCAATTCCCAGTAAAGGAAAGACAGAAAAAGGAGGGAAGGAAGGAAAGAAAAAAAAAGAATAGACCATAGCCAGGTGCAGTAGCCCATGCCTATAACCCCAGCAACTTGGGAGACTGAGGCAAGAGAATCACAAGTTGAAGCCAGCATGGACAATTTTGCAAGACCCTGTCTCAAAACAAAAAATAAAAATGGCAGGGATAAAGTTCAGTGATAGAGTGTCCCTGAATTCAATCTCCAATACCCTAATAAAAATGAATAAATAAATTAATTAATTTTTAAAAGGAAAGAAAGGAAAGACTAAGAGACCACTGTTTCTTTGCAAAATTTTTCCATGTCCTAGTCACTCAGCTTCCCAAAATTAGGCAGTGTTAGGTAACAGAAAGAATCATCTGATTACTAAGACCAGCATTATGCTTCAGCAGCAGCTGAGGAAAAGGCAAAGCAGCTAAAAGCAAAGGTCTGAGTTCCAATTCCTCTTCTTATTAATTATGACAAGTTCACATTAATTAACCTAAGTTTCAATTTCTTCAACTGTAAAATGGGAATATTTTTTATCCTGGGACTGCTAAAATACTTTAATTAAATAAAACATATAAAGTCCTTAACATATATCTGGCATATAGTTAGAGCTTAATAATTGGTAGCTGGGTTGGGGCTGTAGCTCAGTGGCAGAGTACTTGCCTAGCATGCATGAGGCACTGAGTTTGATTCTCAGCACTACATAAAAGAAATAAACAAATAAAATAAAGGCATTCTGAAGAATTGTAATGCAAAATAAATAAATAAATAAACATCATTAAAAAAAATAAAGGCATTCTGTCCATCTACAACTACAGAAATAAAAATTTAAAAAAAAAACTGGCTAGGGTTGTGGCTCAGTGGTAGAGTGCTCGCCTAGCATGCATGAGGCACTGGGTTTGGTCTTCAGCATCACATAGAAATAAAATAAAGATATTAGGCCTACCTAAAACTAAAATATCAAATATTAAAAAATAATAATAATAAGTGGTAGCTGTTATTTTTTCCCCTTTAATACTATTAGCATTCAAAGAAAAGTTCTTTAGAAAAAAGAGAGAAGGGGAAAAAAAAGAAAAGGAACAACTTCCAAGTAGATGTAATAAACAATTTTGTAATTTCTGTGATATACCATGCTCAGGATAGCAGCTAGATCTGTGTCACTTAATCTCAAATGACTTGACCAGCCTAGAAGGCCAGGATCTTGATGGTGTGAAAATTTCTATTCTTCTAGACACTGATTATCATTAATACTGAACCTGTTGTGCTGGTCACTTTTTTTCCCCCAAACTGATCAATAATTTATTTGTATCAATAAAAAATCACCACCTGTGATCTTGTTGAATTAAATCAGGAGTGCAGGGACACACAGGCATATCAAAATCATTTCAAGAAGACCAACTATAGAAGTCTATCAATGCCCTCAGATATAACCCATTACTCCTAAAAAGAGAAGCATTCCAAGTCAGCACTGACCAAGTTAGAGGTTTTATAAATCATTTGGCCTTGGGGCTCCATCAATACCAGTCACAACACAAGTCTGATTAGAAGGGGGTCCAGGAGGTTCAACTAAGCATGAGAACTAAGCCCCATATCCTAAAGGAAGTTAGTATGTTTACCTGGACCTAGAGTCACCAGAGGTTCTCCTGAGGTGATAACCAGTTGATCAAAAGCAGTTTGAAGAGATGTAGCCATCTTCAGTCTTCTAGAACAGCCATAACTAGAACAGATGACCCCTCATGCCTTCAGAGGGAAGGGCAATCTCTTGCTAGTGATTTCCATCTTTGTAGAGGGAAGCATAACCCAGGTGTAGATAACCCCCACTCTGGGCGCTTACTCATGTTGTACTGGTCATTTTTAAAACTAGAGGTAGGCTGGGACTGTGGCTCAGCTGTGGCACACCTGCCTGCCATGTGTGAGACACTGGGTTTGATTCTCAGCACCGCATATAAATAAATAAAATAAAGGTCTATCAACAACAAATATATATATATGTATATACTTTTTAAAATGATTAAAAAAAATACTAGAGGGAATCTACTTTTTTACCCACCAGACAGAATTACAAATTCAGTGAGCCTTCACAGAATCATTCCAATGGGATCCTGCCTTTATTTGACCTAAGTTTTTGTTTTTGTTTTGGAACCAGGGATTGAACTCAGAGGCACACGACCACTGAGCCACATTCCCAACCCTATTTTGTATTTTATTTAGAGACAGGGTCTCACTGAGTTGCTTAGCACCTTGCCCATTGCTGAGGCTGGCTTTGAACTCAGGATTCTCCTGTCTCAGCCTCCCTGCTGGGATTACAGGTATGTGCCACCGCACCCAGCTGATCTAAGTTTTACTTGTTATTTTCATTATTCTTCCCTAGACCTTTTTGTTTATTGGTTAGTTGATTTGGAGCCTCCTCTACCTCTTTAGATGATATATTAACTACATGGCATCTTTTCCATGATTTCTATCCCTTATGTCCAATACCTCATTTACTTTCTTAGTTGGGTATCTAGGTTGTCTAATAACCTCTATACCTTTCTAGAACTCATTTTTATTCTTCTGGTCATGGGATCAACTCTGGCGATAGCTAGAATGCTATTCTCCCTAGTATACCTTCTTCTACTTATGAAAACTACTAGTTTTCATAAGATTTCACCAGCTTTTGGTTTTGCTATGTTCATCTGAAATTCCTCATGTTCCTGTCAAAAACCTTCCTGCTCTTCAGTCCCCAGACATCCTTAATGGTTTCTGTTGAGTGACTTATAACAAAAGCTGCAAAGCCCAGATAAATTATGCCCACCAGCTTGCCCCTGCCTACTATATTAATTCTTCTGGGGGCATCTGACAGACCAAAGATGCATACTTTACTCCAGAAATGTGATTTTCTCCAGTTCCTTGGCCAGGTCCAATTTTTCAGGCTGACATTTCAGAAAGCCCTACTGAGCTAAGCCTGGATTCAGTTTACAGTTAGAAAAGCCAAACTATTGCCTCAGAATAGCCTGCATCCACCAGAATGTTCTGAAAATATTCATTACTGATGATGATGCATTCCTGTCACATAACTCAACTCTCTTTAACTATCCTCAGCACTTTTCCTCAGCTATTTTTCTTGTTGTTGTAATAAGGCTCCAGAGGCATTCACACATGACAGAGATCACAACGGCTACCATGCCAGTCCCTTCAGATCACAGTACAACAGGTATTGGGGATAAATTATATATTTGCTAGTAGTTGTATGCCCCATTCATCAGGTCCTCCAAGATAATAAAAATGAACAACTCCTAGGATTTATAACACATTAACATTTTTCCATATTCCAGTCCCTCTTTAATTATTTCCTTCTTACAGCCTTTCCTTCTTCCATGTCCCTCCTTATAAGAATAAGCTCCACAGGCTGAGGATGTGGCTCAGCAACAGAACACTCGTCTAGCACTTGCAAGGCACTTGGTTCAATTCTCAGCACCATATAAAAATAAATAAAATAAAAGATATTGTGTCCAACTACAAGTAAAAAATATTAAAAAAGAAAGAAAGAAAAGAAAAGAATAAGCTCCAGGGCTGAGGAGATAGCTCAGTTGGTAGAGTGCTTGCCTTGCATGTACAAGGCCCTAGGTTCAATCCCCAGCACCACCAAAAAAAAAAAAAAAAAGAATAAGCTCCAGCTGGGCTTGGTGGCACCCACCTGTAATCCCAGCTCCTCAGGAGGCTGAGGCAGGAAGATCGCAAGTTCAAAGCCAGCCTCAGCTACAGCAAAGCGCTAAGCAACTCAATGAGACCCTATCTCTAAATAAAATACAAAATAGGGATGGGGATGTGGCTCAGTGGTCAGGTGCCTCTGAGTTTAATCCCCAGTACCAAAAAAAAAAAAAAAAAGATACAGCAGCAGCAGCAGCAGCTCCAGATTTTGTGTTACCCCTCACTTTGAACCTGCCCAAATAAATTCTAACTAGGAATCATATCAAAAATCACTAAGAGCCAGAAGCTCAGAAAAGAAAATCTTCTCTCCAACTGGCCCATTTCTCATAGTGCTGCTGCTACTTATTAAGGGGAGAAAGTCAGGTTGCCTCAAGTAATACATGACTTCCTGGTTTAGTAAAATACTCCTGTTGTCTAGGACTATATGTAAAAAACTTCCTTGTCCTTAAAAGGAATCCCCAATGAAGGCCCTGGTCTTCCCTGAGTATTCTCCTTCCTTTTCGGTGTATTCTGCCTTCTGAAAGGAACCAAGTACATATATCAAACCCACACATTGATCTCTGGGATCTGTTCTTCATTTCAAAAATCTGTACCCTAATTAATTCAGGGGGAAAGACAACTCCAGAACTGATATGGGTAAGGCCCTGCCTTCAACTTTTTCATTAAAATCAGAAAAAGTTTTCAAACCATCAGTAATACTTATACAAACAGACTTTATTAAGGAAATATAATAAAAATAAGAATCTTTCAAACCAAATGCACTAAGTCAGTGGTTCCCAATCCTGACTAATCAACCTACTGAACTGGGGATTTCTAACATAATAATAATGTTCGGTGTTTTTTTTTTGGTTTTGGTTTTGGTTTTTTTGTTTTTGTTTTTTTTTTTTTTTTAGTTATAGGTGGCCACAATGTCTTTATTTTATATTTATGAGGTGCTGAGGATCAAACCAAGTGCCTCACGCATGCTAGGCGAGCGCTCTATCTCTGAGCCATAATCCCAGCCCAATAATAATGTTTTAAAAAGATTCACAACTCCTCTCCCACAAAATTCTACATCTGGTATGTCCAGATTAAAGTCCAAAATTTTTTTCTTTTTAACAAATTCGTAAGTCACTCTAATAAGTGCATTTAGAAGCCACTACATTAAGAGATACTTCATTAGAAACTATACTACAGAGAGCTGGGTATGGTGGCACACACCTGTAATCCCAGAGCTCAGAGGCTGAGGCAGGAGGATTGAAAGTTCAAAGTCAGTCTTAGCAACTTAGCAAAGCCCTAAGCAACTCAGCAAGACCCTGACTCTAAATAAAATATAAAAAGAATTGGGGATGTGACTCAGTGGTTATACTACAAGATTCATTTAAACAACTATATTCTCTGCCCCATGCATTTAATTATTGCATTTGAAGAATTTGGTTTATCAAAATTAATCTTCACACTATCTACTGAGAACATATCTTCCACATTTAAGAGGCGCCACATGTAGGAAGATTATAAAAAGAACAACTGCCCTTCAGGGTCCCCTTACCTCATATTTTCTGTAGTTTACCAGCAAAGCCAAGAGGACAACAGCATCATACCCATGCTCTCTACGACTTGGGGGATGGGAGAGTATCTGTAACAAGAACCAAAAATATGTAATTCCTGACTGCTAACTCCTGGCACCTGAGTAACCAGACCAATAACATTTGAGGAGATGATCTATCCAAAAGACAAAGAGTTGACAAAGCTACCTGTAAAATTGCTTCAAATATGCTGTTGATCATTACATACTCCAGGATAGTGTTCTGGCTGATGTTGTCTGTCACCTGAATGGAATAAAAAGCCTTTTAAGTCTGTTTTAAGGCACTTGACATCTCATGTATATCTCCTACCCTAATGTCTAAGTGAAATGGAAATGTAGAAACACTCTACTAGATACTTAGTAGACCTTTAACAAGCATAAGCACCCCAAAGCTACCAGAGCCTGAATAGGCAGTCACTATGAAGGTAGGAAATTAGCAAATTAAAACTTCCTAAATCTGAACTTATTATTTCTCTCATGCTCTCACAAGCATTTGCTTAATAGTTTCCTGGATTTCATGCCTTAAATATACAGGAAGACATTCACAAATCCAAAAGTCTTCAAGAGGTGGGAGGAAAAAGGAAGTACCTGAAGTATATAAACAACATCACACCCTCCTTCCACTAAGGAGTAGAAGCAAGTGTCTAGTTATAAAATCAAAACCACGGCTGGGGTTGTGGCTCAGTGGTAGAGCACTTGCCTAGCACATGCAAGACCCTGGGTTTGATCCTCAGCACCACATAAAAATAAATAAATAAAAGATATTGTGTCCAACTACAACTAAAAAATATTTTAAAAAAATAAAATAAGGGCTGGGGATGTGGCTCAAGCAGTAGCACGCTCGCCTGGCATGCACAGGGTGCTGGGTTCAATCCTCAGCACCACATAAAAATAAAGATGTTGTGTCCACCAAAAACTAAAAAATAAATATTAAAAAATTCTCTCTCTCTCTCTTAAAAAAAATTAAACAAATAAAATAAAAGTCAGACCATATAAAAATATTCAGAATCACAAAAGCCATTTTCAAGTGAAACCTGATGAAGACAAATCTGACAATCTAGAAGATTGTAGTTCTCTTAAAATGGTCCTTCCATTTTTTTTTTTTTTGAGAGAGAGAGAGAGAGAGAGAGAGAATTTTGTTATTGTTGTTTTGTTTTGTTTTCGGTGGACACAACATCTTTGTTTGTATGTGGTGCTGAGGATCGAAGCCGGGCCGCAAAGCACGCATGCCAGGCGAGCACACTACCGTTGAGCCACATCCCCAGCCCCTAAAATGGTCCTTCTAAAATGATAAGTATCACATCATCTGCAGGCTAAAAATTCTAGCAGTTACTCCAAAGAATAACTTCCAGGAAGCAAAAGTCCAGGCAACTACTACCTTATATACTTTCAGATAAGAGGAAGTGATGCAATACCCCAAAAGAGAATTTTTTTTTCCTCTTTTCACTTCTAATTTTGGGCTCAAGTATTCAAATAAGCTTGCCTCTGCTGTCAGTTAATACCCTTGACAAACATATAAATGGATTACTTACAGTCACTAAGCAAAGTAGTAATTTCAGACATAAACTCTTCAGACTTTCAGAACCTTCTGCACAAAGCAGTGAATCCAAACTCTCCATCAAGTTCTGAGAAAGAGAACCATTAAATATTAAGCCATACCACTAAACACCTACATCCCATCTTTGCCCAATTCTGGGTTATGTTACACAGGGTAATGTGAATAATGCACCATGAAGCAACTATATCGTTCCCCTAGGCCTAGCCCTTGCAAAATCAAAGAAAAACAAGGTTTCAAAGTCTAGCTATTTGGGGGGAAATGCTTGAGAACAATTCCACAAAACAATGAAGAATTTACTCTTCTACCAAATGAATGTTTGCAGCCTGTCATCCATATTTAAATCTTCAGATTAGAATGGGGTAAGTTGAAAAAGGAAAACCTAATGATTAAATAACTGTATATAGAGATATCATCACTTGATATAGTATACTGAAGAAATGACAAAGGGACAATATCACTACTGGCATCACTGGCCATAAGTACTAAAAAAGATGTGTCCATCCTGGTCAAATTCCTTGACAATGTGATTTGAGTTTATTTCTTGCACTAAAAATCAGCTTTTAGACTCAAACTAATCAAAAGATGAAACTTGCCAGGTGCAGTGATACACATGTGTAATACCAGCAGCTCAGGTGGTACATGCATGTAATACCAGCAGCTTATTTGAATACTTGAGGCAGGAGGATTGCAAGTTCAAAGCTAGCCTCAGCAACTTAGTGAGGCCCTAAGCAACTTAGTGAGACCCTGTCTCTAAATAAAATATTATTTAGATATTGGGATGTGGCTTAGTGGTTAAGCACCCCTGGGTTCAATCCCTGGTATCATAAAAAAAAGATAAAACTTTTATATACTGGGGGCTGGGGATGTGGCTCAAGCGGTAGCAACGCTTGCCTGGCATGCGTGCAGCCTGGGTTCGATCCTCAGCACCACATACAAATAAAGATGTTGTGTCCGCCAAATACTAAAAAATAAATATTTAAAAAAAAAACTTTTATATACTATAACAGATGGAAGAAGAAAGGAAATATTCCAGTTAAATAGAGGAGAAAATTGAAAAGATAATAAGTTCAAAATAAGCTTCTTCAGTTCAAGTCAATAAATGTGTAAGCATCTACTATGATAGTGTACTTTCAAAGAGTATAAGAAAAAATAACTGGTGACCCTTGCTTTCGAGGTGCTTTTAGTCTAATGGGAGAGAAAAATAAGCAAACAATATCAATTCAAAGTTAACAATGACAGAAATATACATGGAAGAAGAGTAGTAGCTCAAAAGTCACCTATTCCAGCTGGGTGCGGTGGTACACACCTGTAATGCCAGCAACTCAGGAAGCTGAGGCAGGAGGATTGTGAGTTCAAAGCAACTTAGCAAGGCCCTAAGCAACTTAGTGAGACCCTGTCTCAAAATAAAATGTAAGAAAGGGGTGGGATTATGGCTCAGAAGTTAAGCATACATACACATACACACACACACACACACACACACACACACACACACAAAATCATCTATTCCAGGACTTCTCAGAGGTTAGTCTGATTTTGCAAAATCAGTAGGAATTAATTAAAACTTGAGGAGGAAAGAGATTCCTGACAGGCATTATCATGATCAAAGACACAAGAGGAATGAAATGGCCCTGGGCATGGGGATGGAATACAAGTAGTTTGTTATTAGAGCAGTATAAAGAATGAGGCTGAGACACAGAGGTGAGAGACGAGACTGGAGAAATAAATATGGTAAAAGTTTGAAAGTTTTATAAGGCTAACTAGGGAGTTTTCTTTATCCTATTAGTAATAAAAAGACTAATAGAGGATTTTAAGCAGAAAAGATCTGAGTATAAGTTACATCACTCTGGTATCAGAGTGGATGAGAAGTTTAAAGATGGTAAGCCTGGAGGAAGGGAGACCAAAGAGAACAAATCTATTAATTTCCTCAGCCATGTCTTATTTACCTCTGTATCCCCAGTGCCTAGCAAAGTTCTAACATATAGGAGCTCAAAAAATGTTTGTCAAAAAAGTCCAACTACAACTAAAAAATAAATATTAAAAAAAAAAAAGAATGAATAAGCTGGGGCTAAGGTTGTGGCTCAGTGGCAGAGCGCTTTCCTAGCATATGTGAGGCATTAGGTTCAACCCTGAGCACTACATAACAAATAAAATGAAGGCATTCTGTCCATCTACAACTACAAAATAAAAAATAAAAAAAAGAATGAATAAGCTGGGCACAGTGGCAATGCCTGTAATACCTCAAATTCAGGATGCTGAGGAGGAAAATCACAAATTTAAGCACAGCCTCAGCAAATTTGGAAGCCCATAGCAATTCAGAGAGATTTTATTTCAAAATAAAAAATAAAAAGGGTGGGGGACATGGCTCAGTGGTAAAGCACCTCTGGGTTCAAACCTTAGTTTGAAAAAAAAAAAGAGGAAGAAATAAAGGCATCACTATAATAGTTAAGGTGAGATATAAAAGAGCAGTAGCAATAGGGGAAGAAAAGACAGATTTGAGAAAAATCTGCTGAGGTAAAACTAGCTGTAGTGATCATTTGGAGATAAAAATGAGGGAAAGGCAGGCTGAGGTTGTGGCTCAGTGGTACAGCACTCTCCTGGCATGGGTGAGGCACTGGGTTCAAACCTCAGCACCACATAAAATAAATAAATAAACAAACAAAATAAAGATACTGTGTCCACCTCCAACTAAAAAAAAAGATGGAAAGGAAAAAAAAAATCAAGGATGACTCCCAGGTTTTTGGCTTGGGGCCTGAGAAGACAGGTGCCCACTCTAAAAGAAAAGGAATGAGAAGAACAGGAACAGGAGAAACAATAAGTTTCATTTTGGAAATGTCAACCAAGAGGTATCTATGGGATATGTGAGAGAGAATATCCAGCAAGCACTTACAAAAGCTCAAGAAGAAATGTTAAACCTAGATAGAGACAGCATCAAAATATACAGACAAGTTGGGGTTGTGGCTTAGTGACAGAGAGGTTGCCTAGCATGCATGAGGCACTGGGTTCAATCCCCTGCACCATATAAAAATAAATAAATAAAATAAAGGCATTGTGTCCATCTGCAACTAAAAAATATTTTTTAAAAAAAAGTATATAGAAAAAAAAATAAATAAAAAATTTTAAAAAAAAAGTATATAGGCGGGGGCTGAGGTTGTGGCTCGCTTGCCCCTCATGTGTGAGGCACTGATTTCAAACTTCAGCATCACATAAAACAATAAATAAACAAAATAAAGATATTGTGTCCATATACAACTTAAAAAAAAAAAAAAGATATCTTAAAAAAAAAAAAGCATAGCTGGGCACAGTGGCACACACCTATAACTCCAGCAGCTCGGGAAACTGAGACGGGAGAATCGAGTTCAAAGCCAGCCTCAGCAACTCAGTGAGACCCTGTCTCTAAATAAAATACAAAATAGGGTTGGGGATGTGGCTCAGTGGTCTAGTGCCCCTGAGTTCAATCCAGTTCCAAAAAAAAAAAAAAGCATATAGGCAATAATTAGAACAAGAACTGGGCACAATGATACATGCCTGTAATCCCAACAACTCAAGAGACTGAGACAGGAGGATTGCAAATTCAAGGTCAACCTAACAACTTACTGAGACCCTGTTTCAAAATAAAAAATAAAAAGTACTAGAGATGTAGCTCAGTGTAAAAGCAACCCTGGGTTCAATCCCAGTACTGGGGGTGGCGGGGAGAACTATAAGTATGAAGAAGGAATCTGAGATTTTACCATAACACATATATAAATAAACTGTAATAATCCAGAGTTTTAAAATGACACTTACCACTAATCTTTGTATATTCACAATTGTATATACATAATTTCCAGTAACCTCATCATTATAAAAATTATTTGGAACAAATTCTTAACTCAAGCCCAGTGTAGTGGCATATGCTTAAAATCTCAGCTACTCTAGAGTCTGAGGCAAGAGGATTGCCAAGTTTGAGGCCAACCTCAGCAAGTGAGATCTTGTCATGAAATAAAAAATAAAAGGGCTGGGGGTATAGTTCAGTAGTAGAGTGCTCCTGGGTTCAATTCCTAGTACTAGGGGTAAGGAGAAATTTCTTAATTTAAATTTAGTGAGTGACAGGAGAGGAACTATCAAATACTGCAAATCATATATCTGAAAAGGAACTAATATATCCAGAATACGCAAAGAACTCTTACAACTCAATAATAAAAAAAAAAAAAAACAATCTGAAAACTGACAAAGCATTTTAATAGACATTTCTCAAAAAAATAAAAATTAAAAAATAGAAGGTAGACAAAAACAATAGTTAATATGGAGAAAATGAAACTACCATATATTGCTGGTGATACTATAAAATGAAACAGTTAATAAGAAAAAAATGCTTTAGACCAGGCATGGTGGCACATACCTGTAATCCTAGAGATTTAGGAGGCTGAAGGAGAAGAATCACAAATTTGAGGCCAGTCTCAGCAATTTAGCCAGGTTCTAAGAAACTTAGCAAGACCCTACCTACCTCAAAATAAAAAAAGATTGGGAATGTGACTCAAGGGTTAAGCACTCCTGGGTTCAATCCCCAGTACCAAAAAAGACAAAAAAGAAAAAAATGGTTTGGCAACTCATCAAATATAGAGTTATCATTCATGACCCAGCAATTCTACTCCTAGATACTCAAAAAAACTGAAAGCACACATCCACACAAAACCTTATACATATGTTCAGAACAGCAATGTTCATAATAGCCAAAATGTTGAAACAAACCAAATGTCTCTCATATGAGCAATGAAATAAACAGAATATGGTATATCTGTCCAGGGAAGTATTATTTAGCAACAAAAATGAAGTATTCCTATGTCCTATAACAAGAATGAACTTTAAAAACTTGGCACTGAGGGGCTGGGGTTGTGGCTCAGTAGTAGCATGCTCGCCTAGCACACATGGGACACTGGGTTCGATCCTCAGCACCACATAAAAATTAAGTAAAGATTGTGTGTCCACTTATAATTAAAAAATAAATATTTTTAAAAAAACTACTGGGGCTGGGGATGTGGCTCAAGCAGAAGCGCGCTCACCTGGCATGCGTGCACCACATACAAACAAAGATGTTGTGTCCGCCAATAACTAATAAATAATAAATAAATATTTTTTAAAAAAAACTACTAAAAACATGGTGCTGAGCCAAGTGTGGTAGCACATGCCTATAATTCTAGTGGCTCAGAGGCTGAGGCAGAAGAATCTCAAGTTCAAAGTCAGCCTCAGCAACTGAGTGAGGCGCTACGCAACTTACTGAGACCCTGTCTCAAAATAAAAAGATGTGGCTAGTGGTTAAGCGCCCTGGGTTTAATCCCCATTACCAAAAAAAAAAAAAAAAAATGGTGATGGGCACATTGGCACATGCTTATAATCCCAGCAACTCTAGAGGCTGAGACAGGAGGATCGCAAACAAGGCCAGCCCCTGGGCAACTTAGCAAGATTCTGTCTCAAAACAAAAAATAAAAATAACTGAGGATGTAGTTCATTGATAGCATCTCTGGGTTCAATCCCCAGTACCTTTCCCCACCCCCAAAAAAAGCTACATATGATTATGATTTCATTTATATGAGGTGTCCAGAATGGAGAAATACATAGAAACTAATGGCTGGGTGTGGTAGCATATGCCTGTGATCATGGCAGCACACGTCTGTGATCCTAGTGGCTCAGGAGGCTAACATAGGAGTATCACAAGTTCAAAGCCAGCCTCAGCAACTTAGCAAGGCCCTAAGAAATTTAGCAAGACCCTGTCTCTAACATAAAAATATATAAAAGGGCTGGGGCTGGGGCTCAGTACTTAAGCGCCTCCTGGGTTCAATCCCCGGTACCAAAAAATAAAATAAAAAATAAAAAAACAAGCTAATGATTTTTAGTGGCTGGGGAGAAGAGATAATAAGGAATAATGGAAAAATTGCTAATAGGTATAGGGTTTTTTCAAAGGTAATGAAATGGGTTCTGAAATTTATAGTGGAGATAGTTGTTCAATTCTGTGATTATACTAAAACCCACTAGATTATATACTTTTTTGTGAAGTGGGGGCTGGGGTTTGGCTCAGCGGTAAAGCGCTTAACTCGCATGTGCGAGACCCTGGGTTTGATCTTCAGCACCACATAAAAATAAATAAGTGAAATAAAGGTATTGTGTCCAACTACAACTAAAAAATAAATATTTTTTAAAAAAAGAGTGCGGGCTGGGGATGTGGCTCAAGCAGTAGTGCGCTCGCCTGGCATGCATGCGGCCCATGTTCGATCCTCAGCACCACATACAAACAAAGATGTTGTGTCCGCTGAGAACTAAAAAATAAATATTAAAAATTCTCTCTCTCTCTCTCTC